CCCCTGGTCCCCCCCTCCCCCTTGGGGGGGGGGGGGGGGGTCAGTCCCCTCCTCTACCATCCTGGATGCATTGAGACAAGAAAAAACTCGCCAGAGCCCAAAAACACTCCTGGAGAGGTGATTCCCTTCCAGAACAGCTTGGCTGCTCTGATGCCCACAGCTCCTGGGAGCATCCCTGTCCAACTTCTGAGTGACTGTGGGCCACAGGCCATGCTGTGCCATGCCACGTGGGAGCCTCCAGCCATGGGATCCCTAATCCCCCAGGCCACGCTGCCCCCACTGACAGGAGCAGGAAGCAGGAGCTGGAGAAGTGGAGACCAACCTTTCGGCAGGTGATCCACAAATTAGCCCCTTCCCCTGCCCAATCTGCTGCTCTGCTTTCTGCTCCCTGCCCTGTCTGCCACTGTGCTGCCGTTCCCTCCCTGCTCTGTCATGTCCCACACAGTGAGGCTGCCTGTGCCACTTGTGGTCTGTGTGCCCCATGCTGACCACCCCTGAGGACAGAGGGAGGGGCCCACAGCACTGGGAGCCTGGGGTTGCAGGTCTACCCCTCGGGGGCCACCAGTTGGTCATCCCTGCCAACAAGACAGGCCTTATGAGACCCCGAACAGGAGGCAAGGGACCCTGAGTCAGAGCTGAACCCCAACACCAGGGGAGGGAGAGGAGAGAGGCATGTGGGAAAGCAGGGGCCGGAAAGCTGTGTCCTTAGCAGCCATACAGATTTATATGACAGCAAAGCCCTGACCACAAAGCCCCTTCGAGATATGAGTCCCAGCGCCCTGCACAGCCCTGTCATGGCAGGGGCAGTTCAGAGTCTCATGAGGACGGGTGGGCCAACAGAGCACAAGCCCCGGGCAGTGCCTAAGTTTGGGGCGCCAGAATGGAGCCGAGGGCAGGGGCAGCCGGAGCGGGGCTAGAGGAGCTCCCTCCTCCCCGCAACATGTCCCCACGTGGCTCCATCTCAGGCAGAGGGGGGAGGGGGGGCTGCTGCAGGGGACCTGTCATCTCCTCTGTCTGGGACTTTATATGGCTGCTCCACATGTGCGCTGGCTACAAGCAAAGGAGGCAGCATCTCCCCCAGCCACCCAGGGGATGAGACCAGCTAGTTAGGAGTTAGGCCTCTGAGCTCCAGCCAGTTTCCCACTGTGTCCCAGCATCACAAGACCTTCACTGAGGGGCAGGGGGCTGTCAGGGCAGTTGATGAATAGGGCAGGGGCAGGCAGCCCTGCAGAAAGGCCCAGCTCCTGATGGTGCCAAGAGGGTAGAGCAGGATCCCAGCTCCAAGCAAATGTGATGGCAGCCTATACCTGGTGGTGCCCCCAGGAGCCACTTGTGTCCCTTTGCCCAGCCTGCCCCGGCTACCCTTGTCTCTCTCCTTCCAGCACCCTGGGCTCGTGTAAGAGGATAATGCACATGAGTGTAGCATGCTCAGGCAGCACAGACCAACCTGGACTATGCAGACACAGGAGAGGAGGCCGCTGAGCCTTATTCCCTGGCCCCTTCCGTCAGGGAAGCAGAGGGTGAACTCAGGATCAGGCCTGCCTAGCACTCAGCATCATTGCAGGGAAGGTTGGCATCCAAGTATGCATGTATGTATGCACATACACCTGCATACCTGTGTGTTCACATATGCACATGAGCATACATGCGTGTGTGTGCACATGTGTATGTGTGCACGTGTTCATTCATATGTATATGTGTACATATGTGCATGTTTATACATGTGTGCTTTTGCACGCATGTGTGTGTGTGTGTGTACATGTGCATGGTCATTTAGCCTCCTTTTCCTTTGCCTGGAACTAAGGCACCCAAGAGAAGACCTCAGGCCTACGCCTCAATGACAACACTATGCCCCATCATGGCAGATCCCTCTTCTACAGGTGGGTGAGCTGCCATGTGACCCTCATGAAGGATCAGGCTTCGGCCATGAGGGCCAGGGCTGCCTTGCTCCTGATGGGCCTGGACAGCAAATGCCACATGTGGCCCTAAACCACAGGCAGAGGCTCCATGCCCTCATCCCACATCCTCAGAGCTCCCCCCCGCCCCCCCCTGAGTAGTGCCCTGATGCTGCCCCCCCATGCTACAGCCTTATGGTACGTGCTCCTTCAGCTGGGTCTGTGGGCTGTCAGATCCCTTCCCACCACCTAAGACCTCTTGATCCTAGTCTGGGGGTCTTCCCCCCAGAAATTGGAGACCCACAGAAGTCTCTCCTCCCCCAAGAACACCCCAACCTTGTTCCCAAGCACAGAGACTTTCTGCCAGACAGAAGCATCCTCAAGAACCAGTCAATAGCTTTTTTTTTGCCCAGTTTCCTGACAGGAAAATTGAGGCACAGCATTCAGTAATGGGAAGCCAATCTCTGCTGCAGGCTCAGGTGTCTCAGTGCCCCCTGGCCTGGTGTTTGTGATCCCCTGCTCCCAGGGGCCTTGCTTGGTGCCAGAAGCTGCCAGCCATTGTGTGCAATTAAGATGAAAGAACCTCGTACAGAGGCGCTCAGCCTGCAGGGGACTGAGCCCCAGCTACAGGCAATCAGCAGTTAGGGGTCTGCCTGGCTGAAAGGCTGGGAGTCAGCTGATGTAGGTAGAGAAATGAGGGTGCAGATACAGAGAGAGCTGGGGCCTCTAGGGTAAAAGGGCAAGAGGGAGAGAAGAGAGGAGGCTCCAGTACCAAATCGCTTCACAGCCACCCCCGAAGGCAAACAGGAAGCCCTGCTGAAGCCTCCTCCTAAAGTCGGTGCTGACAGTGCAAGTCCTGAGATGTTTCTCACGCCAGCAGAACCCAATCCAAGAGCAGTGCACAGCCCGTACTCCTTCTGACAGCTCTGGCCAAAAAATGGAGTGGGATAACTGACGACTAGAAGTAATATTCTTGGTCACAAACTCAGGGCTGTCCCTTGAAACCTCATTTACTTGTTGCCCTTGCATCAATCTGCCCTTTTGCAGATGGCCTTTCTGAAGTAGCCAAAGAAGAAAGGTTAATATCTCACATGGACAATGCCAAACACATTAGCCCCCCAGGCAACATCCCTACAAAGACATGCTCACCTTCACCAATGGCTTTCTTCACTCTTGGTCAAAGCCCTGATCATAATCTTCCCCTGGTGCCCTTCACCTCTCTACGGTTCACCCAGCCTCCCTGCCATCAGCCCAGGGGCACGGTGGGGTTACGTGGCATCCTGCTTCTGTTTGTACACACAGGACAGAGGCAGCAGTGAGGATGCAGAATCCAGAACCCCTTCCCCACGATTCCCGTGTCAGCTCGAAAGAGGGCTAAGCTTTGAGAACAGAGTAAAAGAAATATCTTTTTACATATATTTATATAAACCAAAAATCAGGGGGGAGGTATCCCTTCCAGTGACTGTCAGAAGCTGTCAGAGAATTGACCTCTGCAGGTACTGGCATTAATAATAAATCCAATGTCCCCTGAGGCACCCCACATGATACTGGCTGCCAACTAGGCATTCAGCCATTGACTACTACCCTCTGAACCCAGTCATCCAGCCAGTTTTCTGTCCACTTTACAGTCCATTCATCCAACCTGTAATTCCTTATGTTGCTTGCATGAATATTGTGGAAGACTGTATCCCATCATATGACTTGCCTTGGTGACTGTATCCCACCCATCCCATCATATGACTTGACTTAGTGAATCCATGGATTCATGATGAATCCATCACCACCTTCTCTAAGTGCCTCGGAGTGGATTCCTTGAGGATCTGCTCCATGATTTTTCCAGGGACTGAGGTGAGACTGACTGGTCTGTAGTT